ATTTGGGCTGTTTCCAAGTTTTAGCTATTACAAACTGTGCTGCTATAAACATGGGTGCACATATATCACTGTGGTATGATTCTTTTAGTTCTTTGGGGAAGATACCCAGCAGGGGAATAGCTGGGTCAAATGAGACTTCCAGTCTTAGTTCTTTGAGGCATCTCCATACTGATTTCCACAGTGGTTGCACCAGTCTACACTCTGGTGGGAGAGATCTTAACGGAGGCAACTTGGGGTCCTGTAGCCTGAGGTTCTTCTGGGTTGTTCTGGTTCCTGTCTCCCCTGTGGAGCTCACTCTGGCTCATGCAGCTTTACCTGGTGGGACATGGCATGTTTCTCCTCCATCAGAATTCACAACTGTTCCCTGTGCAGCAGTGCCCATCGGCAGTTTCATATAGGAGGCTGTGATAGATGCAAATGCAGTTTTAGGCTCTCATGATAACCTTGGAGGGCTTTTGGAAGAAGCACATTTCTCTGTAGTGAAGTGTTAAGTACCGAAGCAAACTCTTTATGGAGCATTTCTCCTCAGGTGGTCATCAATGGAGGGGCCACATCCAGCGGGGAGCAGGACAATGAAGATACAGAGCTCATGGCAATCTACACTACAGAAAATGGCATCCCCGAGAAGGTATTTATATGGTCCTGGGCCCACTGGATTAGTATCTGTGGCTTGGGGTGTGCAGGAGGGGTGCGTCTGTGGGTGTGTTCTCTTTGTAGTGGAGGTAGGAGTTATAGTTACTAGTTCATTTGTCTTGATGACAGTTAAGGTAAGACCCTGATCAGGAATGATATATAGATTTTATTTTTAAAGACAAGGTCTTTGTCTTTTATTAAACTCACTGAATTGTCCAGGTTGGCCTCAAGCTGGGACCAATCAGCTGGATGCCAGGGAGAAGATAGAAGATGTTAAGAGCTTGAAGGCTAGAGTCAGGACTGAGTGTAAGCTTGACTCAGCCCCTAAGAGGATTGCTGCAGCTCTCTGGACATCAGTTTTCTATTCTTTAAAATGGAAAATAAATATAAGCTGAACATGCGTAATCTGAAAATCCCAAACTTTTTCAGTGCCGCTGAGAGTTTCAGAGTTTGGAGCAATTTTGATTTCAGATTTTCAGGTGTCCAACTGGCAAATACTTCCAAATCTGAAAACCTCTGATGTGGAAGACTTTTGGATAAGGGATACTCTGTTGGTATTAGCGTGTATTTTAGTTCACTATAAGGACTGAATAAAGTTACTTATATATATTTATATTTAAACAAAGGTATTAGCACTGTGCTTGCTATATTCTAACACTGCAGTAAGAGAATAAGAGAAACCAGCAGATAGCGCATGTAGACAGAGATGCCTTTGATGAAGCTCTTTGGGAAGAGCAATGAGAAGTCATGTACTGTATTATTCAGCATTGCATCACTGTAATGAAATACCTGACACAGGCTACTTGTGGAGTAAAGAGGTATGTTTTGGCTGAGAGGTCTGGAGATTTGAGATCATGTGGCCCAGTGAATTGGGCTGCTGCTCAGCATGGTTCATTAAGTAAGACAGGAATGTGTGTGGAAATGAGTGATTTAAGCACATCTCCCCTACCCATGGTCTCAGGACTTCTCACTCAGCCCTACTTAAAAGTCCACAGCACATTTCAGTAGTGCAACTTTGGGGACCAAGCCTTTAACAGCCAAACTCTAGCATGTACTAAGTTGGGGAAAATGTTTTTTTTTACCTCATACTTTGTTACTAATAGCATTCTCCTCCACTTACCTGCAAGGCTGTAGGTAGTGGGTTGGTGTTGAGCTGGCCTTTCTGTGGCAGTATCCATGATTGAATCATGTTTAGCAGAATGGTTAGCTCAATGCAAAGTTCCTGGTTAGGATCAGTGATATGCTAGAAAGATTCGCAGGACTCAGCCACCTTGTAATTCTCATGGTTTATTGTTTTGTTTTGTTTTTTTCCAAACCTAGAATGGATAGAGATTAAAGTGATGGAAAGAGGCACATGGGCAGGTGCAAGAGTCACCAGGTGCCAGCTTCCAGTCATCTTCTCCCTGTGTTCAGTTTCCCAGCAGTAATGTGTGATAGCATTTCCCCTCCAAGGAAGCACACCCCAGCCTGGTATATGGGGTTCACTCTGGGGGTTACATAGGTCTTCAGAGCTGACTTCAGTTGTCTCCAGAGGCTGGCTGATTGTCTGTGCTCAAGGCCTTGACATAACTCACACTGTTAACACAAACAGTCCAGCCCAAGGCTTCTGGTCACAGATACACCCACTCTTAGGAGGCAGGATGTCCTGGGAGCTCAGAGATTGTCTCCCAGGCACTGATCAAGAGCCAACATTCTTTAGAAAGGTGTAGGATTTGAGAGCACCAGCCTACTGAGCTGATCTTTCTGCATACACAGATCTGTCTGCCTGTCTGTCTCCCTGTCTCCATCTCCTTCTCCCTCTCCCTTCTCCTTCTCTCTCACACACACACTTTTTCTGCCATTTTTACCAAGCTTTCAAAAAACACATAGTCCAATTGAACCTGTTTAATAGTGCAAATCTGCCTGAAGAAAAAATTCTCCCTGAAAGGGCACATTAGTTTACAGTTAGATTAGATCAAATATCAGCTTACTTCAGACATTTACCTTTAGGCAGAGGTGTGTCACTTGTTGTATTTAAGGGATTTGGGCCCCCAGGCTGTTGTGCCTTTTCTCTTGGCAGCCTTCTTTTGGAGGCTTCCTGGGGGAAGGCAGGGTTACCTTGAATCTCTGGTGTGTGGGGTGTGTGGCCGGTGCTGGGTGATCCTGGAACTGTTGCCCAAGCTGACTGGAAGTGTCTGGGCTGTAACCTTGAGTGGACTTTGTGGTGATTCAGGCTTAAAAAGCATGCAACACACAATTTCTTTAAAAGTTCTTACTAATGGGGGTTGGGAGAGAAGAAAATTTTTCATCCAAACTATAACTACATTTTTAGTGTCTTTGAGTTACTGTGTTTGATAGACTTGTGAGTTTTGATTTTTTCATTCAACATCCTTGTCTGAGTAACTCTTTCGGCAGGGAGGATAGGCTTTATTTTTAAGTACAGAGATCCTCTCTGGACAGGGGTAAGTTTGGGCTGGGAGGGTATCAGTTTAAAAATGACTAAATATTTTACAACATGTCTTCATTTGGGTCTCACTCAAGGTGTCACTTCATGGTCTTCATGGTCTTTGTCCATGCTGGAGGGTCCGCAGGCTTGGGGAGCAGCTCTGAGCAAGCTGGGCACTCTTGGGCTCAGAACTCCCAAATTCTGAGGATTAACTGTCCTGCTGAGCAAATGTACTCGAGCCTTGCACCAGAGGTGGCCAAGGCTCACAATTACAGAGCAGCAGGAGGAAGCCACTTGTCATCAGCAGTGGGCTGTGCTGGGCTGACAGTTTTCTGGCATTCACTAAGTCTCTGCTTGCCCCGCAGAGCTCTCTCGCGGAAACCCTGGACAGCACCGGCAGTCTGGACCCCCAGCGGTCGGACATGATCTACACCATAGAAGACGTTCCCCCCTGGTACCTGTGCATATTTCTGGGGCTGCAGGTAAGATGCTTCCTGTAGGATGCATAACTACTGGCAGAAGCTTGATTTGTCTATCATGTGAAATTTCAGGAAATTCAAGTTTGGTTTTTATTTATTAAAAATTTTATTATAAAATCACTCTTTTAAGGATAATGAATAGGCCGGGTGTAGTGGCATACACCTGTGATCCCAGCACTCGGGAGGCTGCAGCAGGAGGATTGCCTTGAGTTTGAGGCCAGCCTGGGCTACTTAGTGAGTTCAAGGACAGCCTGAACAGCAAGACCTTGTTTCAGAAAACAAAAAACAAAACAAAATAATGAATGGAAATTTTTAGCATCAATTTCATAATGGAAGAAAACTAGGAAAAGAAAGAAGAGTGTTCAGAGAACAAGCAAGAGAAATGACATGAAAGGAGGAAAGAAGATAGTACAAATAGGAAAAAAAAAGGAGAGTAGAGGAAGCAAAAGAGTAAAAAGGAGTTAATTTTCGCCTCTCACCCCTGCCCACATCAACCAGGCCACATCCATGACAAGCTCTGCCATGAAACATAGGTGACCTTGTAGAATACCCAGAGCTGGGATGGAGAGGAAGGTCTTACATTTTATGTTATGTTATGTTATGTTATGTTATGTTATGTTATGTTATGTTATGTTATTTTTTAGTACTGGGGATCAGACTCAGGACCTTGCACTTGTGAGTCAGGTGCAGCAACACTGAGCTCAATCCCCAGCCTAGGTCTTTTAAAGGAAGGAAAATCTTGTCATGATAGTGGCCACTTCATTTTCTGTAGCTTATAGTGGAAGGGGTGTGCAGATGAGCCAGGGTCAGGGTGGAGGTGATACAAGCCAGGGGAGGCCTCTTGTGCCCCTTAGGACTTTCTCTGCTGTCTCTTTAGCACCCTTTCCCTGATTATAGGATTATAAGTGGCTTTTTGGAGAAGGGGACGAGTAAGGAGGCTTCCCCCCCCCCCCCCCCGCCACATCCAAAGGGACTCAAATGATCAGTTGTTCTCCAAGGTTAGCTTGTTGCCTTTCTGTGATAGCAGGGCAGTAGCAGTATAGGGGCCATCCCCAGGGCCAGAGTCTGTTTTCACAAGTATGTCACCGGGTGATGCCAGGATCTCAAGACCTGAGTTAAGACTCTTACAGCTATTTTTGTTTGTTAATGTTCATATAGGAAGAAAGGCTTGGTTATATCTGGCAGTCCTAAGGCTGGGGCTTGAGTTAAGGCTTCTTTGATTTGTTGAAATGTTTCCTGTTGGTCACCTTCTCAAGGGAGGGGCTTCTCTTCCCACACTTGTAGCTTTATACAGGGCCTTAGCTCTTAGCTTTGGAATTTTTATTATCATCTCTGTCATCATTTTCTGAGCACTCATCTTATGATTTTTTTTTTTTAATTTTTGGTACCTGGGATCGAACTCGGGTCCTTGCGCTTTCGAGGCAGGGGGTGGAACGGCTGAGCTAAATCCCCAGCCCTGAGCACTCATCTTTTCAGTGTCTGTATTTCTTTTTCTCTTTTTTCTTTTGGTACTGGGCATCAAACTCGAGACCTTTTGCTTGCGAGGCAGGCGCCGGAACCACTGAGCTAAATCCCTAGCCGAGTGTCTATATTTCTTATATCACACGCATTGATCCCAATCTAGCTTTGGTCAGTTGGCAGATCTCAGCTCGATATGGCTCCTGTTTTATTTATATCTGTGTCTTTGCCCCTTACTGATCTCTGTCTTTTTGTTGTTGTTAAGCCTCTCAATAAAGCCAATTCCCCTCTCTCTTTTTGTTTTAGGCATGGCTTAGGCTATGAGTGTCTTGTAATATGCCTCTAAGCAGGGATGTGGCCAGTCTGGACTATATTTAACCAGGAGTCAATGTAGGGAAACTGATCTGGATGTCATAGTTGTCTCTCTTGTCCAGCTATCACCCTATACACAATCCTAATTATTACCCTATCCATGGCTTTTTCGACTGGCTGCTATATCAAAGGAGGGCCAATCTACTTTACAAAGAGTTTTTAATTTCTGAGGGGGTCAGCTTTTACAGTTCCCCATATAGCCTCTTTTAAAGTTTTTTAACATGTATCTTAGTGACGCTTTTCCTCCTATATCCTGTTGTAACGCGAATCACTCTCTCAAGTACTTTTGCTTAGGAACAGCCTGAGCCTCATCAAACTTACAAGAATATATTTGAGTCTTTTGTGCCACAAGGAGCTTTTAGAAGGAACAGTATTGGCTTTCACCAAACCAACGCACAAACCTATATTTCCTTTGATAAATCACTTCTGCACGCTTTCTTGACATATATAAGCTTTTTTAGTCTTATCATTATCTTTTTTAAAAATCTTTTTAGCAGGACAAAACTTTTTTTTTTTGGTACTGGGGATCAAACTCTGGTCCTTGCGCTTGGAAAGCAGGCAGTGAAACCACTGAGCTAAATCCCCAGCCCTTGTTTTGGCTTTTAGACACTTGCAGGCAGCATCAGGCTAGTGATGCTGAGCCAGTGCTGGTCTTGGGGCTCTTGAAGCTGGAAGTATTTTTCTTATTGCTTTGCTCCACACTCTCTGGCTTTTTCCCAGCTGGTTTCATTTCATTTATTTACATGCATTCATATATTTTCCCATTCTATTTTTTTTTCCAACCTGGGTGTGAGTTTTAATCAGAGTTCCCCTGAGTCTGATTTCCCAACACACCCCATTTGTGAGTCACTCTTGTTGTGGGCCTGTCTCACCAGCTGTTTGAGAGTCACCTGTGAGCCACTCTCACTTGCAGGCTGCCTCTGCATTCTACTTGGGGTTGTAGGTTTCCTCTGACTCCACCTGAGTCAGAGTACTTGGTCCACTTTGGGAGGTGATCAGTCTTCCCTACTGTCCTAACTGGACAAGTTTCTCCCTGGGCCCCTAAACCTTACCTCGGTCCTATAGCGCGCTGTTGTTCTAGAATTGTCCTGAATCCCAATAGGTTCTGTTGTGCTGGCAGGGATGGGTTCCAGACTGTGGGAGGACTGCCTCTTTGTCAGAGCTGAAGTCTCACCTGGTGGTACTAGAGGTCTCAGGATTCCTGAAGCTTGGGCCCTTCTCAGGCCTGCAGGCAAAGGAGACAGCAACTCTGTTGTCCCCAGTCCCTTTGTGGTTGCCAGAAATGTTGTAGAATTCTAAGAGACAGGAGAGACCAATGGGAATCAGGAGTATTTATTTTAAGTTGTACACCAGCTCAATAGACTCCTGTCCAAAGAAAGAGTGTTGAACAAAGAAAAATTCTAGCTTTTATATATTTGGTCGAAGTGGGGGCTAGTCTTTCTAGTGATGAAGCAAGTGAGTTTACCGGAACATGACAAGGGCAGATAGTTTTGTAATTTAGCCTTGTAAGAGGACAGTGTCTTATGAATCATATGAAAACAGAGTGTCATAAACTTTGTTTACAAGACATAGTTGTTGATTTTTATCTATACTGGAAAAAAAGTTACAGCTACAAAAGAGAAGAGAATAATTTAGGAACAAAAAACTGAGAAAGAGTTGTTTTTCTTTAAATCCTGCTTCAGTACTCCATTATAAATAGCATACTTTCTTTATCCAGTCATCTGTTGCTGGGCAGGCATAGAGGCTGCTTCCAAGGTTTAGCTGTAATGAATTGTTCTGCTGTGAACATGGCTATGCATGTAACAATGTGATGTTTTTAGCTGTTTCAGGGGAATGGCTGGGTCAAATGGAATTTCTAGTTTTAGTTTTTGAGGTTCGTTCAGGGAGGGTGGTGTGTCCTTCCGCGGTGTCACCTCCTGGCAGTAGTTGCTTTGTGTTTTAGCTTGGACCCCTTTCCAAAGTCTGACTTTCCATGCTTCCTTCCTCGGGCTTGTGTGATCAACTCACCTGAGCTTTCTCAGATGCCGTGAAGGTGGGTCTCAGGGCCCAGATGTTTGTTGGCTTGGAAGTAGGGCTGGGCCTGCTGCCTGCTGGTGCTGTGGCTGGGTTTGCAGAGCTTAGGTAGCCTGGCCGGAGTATGTCCAGTGAAGGAGGAGTTGGAGCCAAAAGAGTTGTTTGCTCTTGGCAAACAACTTAACCCTGGCCGACTGTCCAAATATAGGAGCCAGAAAAATGCTTTTTGAAGGTTTTCTACTATATGTTCCTGGAAGTCTCCCTTAGTCAAATAGGAGTGACTGCCTCCTGCTCCACAGCACATACAGGAGCACACACACATGTGCATGCCCTGAGCAGCCATGTCTGTGCCCAGAAGCACCTGTGCTACCGGGCTCTGTGGGCTGCAGGCAGCACACATGAGAAATGTGGGCAGGAGTGGAAGAAAAGCAGAATGTTTGCAGAACAGAAATAACACCAGACACCCGGGGAAGACAGGGAAGCTCTGCCAGGGTCACAAGGACTGGTGAGGGGGCCCCCCAAACAGCTGAATGCAGTTTCTCCTGGACAACTCTTACAGTCACTGTGCCCTTGAACCTACCCTGACTGTAGCAGATAATACATGTGTTTGCCAGAACAATTCAAGACCACAGAAAAAGATGGAAAACACTATACACATAAACAGAAAAACCATGGAATAATTGTTCTATGGATATAGATGTAAAATACTAGTAAATCGGAAATAGTGTGAATAACTTGGCTTTGTTTCAAGAATGTAAGAGTAGTTTTGCATGTTAACAGGACAGGAGAAATGGCCCTGTGGATGCCCCAGGAAGCTTTGGAGATAGTTAGGATGTGGTCAGGGAAAATATGAGGCCTCACTCTTTCCCGTTCCATCTCTCCTCCTGCCTGCAGCACTATCTGACCTGCTTCAGCGGCACCATCGCAGTGCCCTTTCTGCTGGCCGATGCCATGTGTGTGGGGTATGACCAGTGGGCCACCAGCCAGCTCATCGGGACCATTTTCTTCTGTGTGGGAATTACAACTTTGCTGCAGACCACGTTTGGATGCAGGTGAGACTGGGTTGCTGAGTGGATGTTGACACAGCGCAAGGCTTCAGCTCAGAAGGACCAGCTGGAGTGGGGATGTCCTGGTGGCCATTAGTGCCCTCTCCACCCTGCAGGGCTACCCTTGTGTTTCTTTTCTTGGTGAAGGGCACCACCCATTCCCAGTTATGAAAGCCGGAAACTCAGCCTCTCTCTGCCCTCTGTCCCCCTGCTTGTCTTCCTTGTCCCACCCAGGTCCCCATCAGTCTCCCTGCCTCTGGGGCTCCTCCCTGCCCCATACTGCCCCACCCAGTTATCCGTATCTTCCTGGGCTGGCCAGGCTGCAGCTCTCTATTCCTTGTTCGAACTGAGATGTGCCTGATGTCTGGTGTGTCCCTCACTTTCTTCACCTCTATGCCTCTAGCTGCACTGCTGAGTCAGGTTCCTACCACCCTGCATATCCTGCCATCTTAGCCTCCCATCCAGCACCTACCTCACAACCTCCGTCCTGGCTTGTCCTTCCTCCTGTGACACGTGCTTGCTCCCCAGAAGCCCCTGCTATCTGAATTCCCATTTGTGCATCTTGGGTTTATTCTTCAACTGTGGCTTTTACTTCCATGTACCCATTTCTGGTTTTGTGTCTTCTCCCTGCTGGGGTGGCCTCCTTCATGCCAGGGCTCTGACTTGTTCACCTTTGCATCCCAGTGAGAGTGGAGGAGCCCAGGAAGGTCTGGGGTGTCCTGGCAAGTCCTCCCACTCCCCCTCCCTCTCCTCTGGCCCTGGCTTCTGCCCTTTTCCTATCCCTCAGCTGTGTTACGGTGGGGCAGGGACCCGCTCTGGCAGGACTGTCCTAGTGTGAGCTGCTGTTCTGTCTCTTGCTCATCAGAGACAGTCTGAGCCAGGCTTCAGCGTCCTTGCTGGGGAAGTGGCAGTGAGAGAGACACAGCTCTGAAGGCAGCCTGGGAGCCCTGGCCTCCATTGTCATCAGCCAAAATCCTACCCTCGTTGGGTGGCAGTGAATGGTGCTAGGGTGTTGCAGTGTAGGCAGTGTTCCAGGAGGGCCTCCTGCAGCCCCTCCACATGGCACTGATGGAAAGAAGCTGGGTGTGCTGGAGGCCACGGGGCTGTCAAGTCCTTAGGCTTCTCAGGCCCCAGCCCCACTAGACTGCTAACAGCCGCCATGCTGAGCAGAGGGGCGGGTGTCCTGGGGATTGAGAAGAGGGGTGGGACTGTCATCCACCTGCTGGGGAGGGATGAGGTCCAAACCTTCCATGGAACACTCAAACCAGGCTGTTAAACGTGATGGTCGTGTCCTTTGTGATTTTGTGCTACATTCAGGACTCTGTTGCAAGTGAAAAAGCATTTGGTGGACTCGGGAGCTTTACTTTGTACACAGGGTATTGTCCTTTGGGGAAGTGGTTCTTTCTTTAAATAGCTGGCTTCCCAGTGAACTTGGAGGCCCGTCCATTTGTAAGTGCAGGCAATGCCTGTAATTGGAAATGGTTGGCTGACCTGAAGAGCAGGTTGGAGATGTCTTGGGTGCAGTGATATCGACGCTGTGTGCATCTGCACCTGACACCATGCCAAGGCCAGGGCCCACCCACAGCTAAGCCTGGGGTACAGAGTTGTCTAAGGTGACACAGCACAGGGACCTAGGAGGTCCCTGAGTGAGTCCTTTTGGTCCTGGTAGGGCAGCCTCTTGGCCATTGTCAGGGCACAAGACCCAAGTAGACTGACTAGGGCATGCAGCTTTGTTCCCCTCTTCCTCTGAAAGGACAGAGAGCTGACAAAGAGTAGGCGAAGGAGTTGGCACCCTGCCCACTTGGCTTGGGGACCAGAAATGTGGAGCTTGAAAGTATGGTAGTGCACTCTGTGCCCACAAGGCGTGGCCATGTCTTCTGTGGCATGAAGAGCAGCAGGTCCCCTGGCCTCTGTTCTCACTGTGCAGCTGTGTGCTTGGTTGTGCACCAGGAGGCAGGTGTCCATCTTCTAACCATGGCTGTGTGTACACATGGAAGGGCGTCCCCAGGTGCTCTCTGGAGGTGCTGATCTGGGGACTTGGAATTTCTGCAACTGTTGGGCAGTGGGTAGTGTCCATACTCTTGACCTGGGAAAAGAGAAAGATTCCTGATTCGGTGCCATAGATACCTCGTCTGTCTGTGCAGCAGGTGGTAAGCAGAAGTGAAAGTGTTTGTGTGATGAAGTACACGGCCCACAGTGTAATGGTGCAGCACTATCAGGAAAATAGTGTGTCCTGCCAGGAACTGATGGGTCATGAGCGGTTAGTGGTAGAAACAGGCCCTGAAGACTCAGTGGGAGCTTGGCCTTAGAGGGATGAAGGAACATTTTCCATCCTGGCACAGCAGCAGGAAGTGACATCATGGTGGGAGATTCCCCCATTGGACAGACTGGGACCGGGACTTCGCAGGGCACAGGGAACCTGCAGTGACTCCCTTAGCAGGAATGCACTAGGTGAACCTGTACCTCAAAGGCTTTGGTTACAGCAGTGGCAGAGGAGAAGCTATGACACTCAGCTACTCAGCTTTGAGATGTGGCCAGGTGGCCTCTCCACCTCTGCCTGAGGCATCCTGTGGGTGACATTTCACCATTATTTTAACAATCTCTTGTATTATTATATAGATTATTATAAACTTCCCCAAATAGCCTAGGAGATTGTGTGGTGTCATTAAACATCCATTTGTTCCACTAAATGCATGTAAAATGGTCTATCATAAGCTGTGAATTTTAACATGCTTGTGTATTTATTTTTTACTCAAAACAAGATCAAGTAAACAGAAAAGTGAGGGATACAAGGGTGGCCCCCTGTGGGAAGAAAGGGCAGGGGGAACCAAGATGGGGTTCATTCCCAGTGTCCCAGCTGAGGTTTGCAGGTGAACCGTGTGGGTTTGCTGGGGTTCTGCAGGCTGAGAGCAGCAGAAGGAAAAGTTGTTTCATGTTCAGCTTTCATGATTTCTACGCAGGTTCACAGACCTTTCCAAATGACACAGTTCCTGCTGTGATTAAGTTCTGTATGTTTGTGTATCTGCCTGCTGCTTGCTGTCACTCACAGTCATTGCACTGTATATCTCGGGGACGTGGGCCTGAGGGCCGACTTTGGCTCCTGTTTCTGAGGGGTGGTGGGCCCTTTATCCTGAGAACTCTGGAGCCAGGAAGAACAGAGTGCTGGGCCAGGTCTTCCTGTCACATAGGCTCTGGGCTGGCCTCGAAACTTGTGCTATAAAAGCAGCCAGAATTGATGAGGAAGTTTGCAATGGTGACACAGATGTGTAGCTTTGCAGGCTTCACCCTGAGCACAGGGCACCAGCTTTGAGATGCCAGAGCTCAGTTGATCCTCTGGGCACAAGCTGCACATTGCCCCTCTCCCCCCTGCTGTCTGTGTCCACTTTGCTCCAGGAACCGTCATTTTTTTTTTTTTGGTACTGGTAATCAAACTCTGGGACCTTGTGCTTGGGAGGCAGGTGGCGGAACCACTGAGCTAAATCCCCGGCCAATTAAGTAAATTTTTTTTTTTTTTTTTTTGGTATCGGGGATCGAACTCAGATCCTTGTGCTTGCAAGGCAGGTAGTGGAAGCACCTGTCATCTTTTTATAAGCAGAGCTCACAAACCTCAGCACCGCTTGTGGAACTTGTGTGGCTTGGTCATTTCCCAGAGCCTCTATCTGCTGGGATTTGGGCTGTTTTGGGGCAGCTGCCTTTTCCTTCTCTCTCTGCCTCCCCACTCCCACGTCTTCCTTCTCCTTTGACCTTGATTCCTTGTACTTTGCTTTCAGTGTCTTCATTACTGAGCTCCCCTAGAGGGAGGTTGGAAGGGTTGTCTTCATTCTGGTTGATATGTGCCGTCCCTTCCGCAGCTTTTTCTGGGAATTAGTACAAAGCCTTTAAAATCCTTTGGAGTCAGGGCAGGGTTGTTCAGAATCCCCCTCACCCAGACTCAGTCAGCCCAAAGCAGTCCTGCCCATGGCCCCAGCCTCCCAGAGGGACCTCCTCTGTCAGTCACACAGCAAAGGGAAGGCTTTGGCCAAGGAGAAGCCTACCCAGGAGAGGTGCAGTCTTTTTCTTTGATCTTAGCAGGTTTGTGGGGCTGTAAGGGGCCCTTTCCATGTAGACTGCTCATGGAGACAAGGGTATTTCAAAGCCCTAAATTTGGAGGCTTTAAGCTCATGACTGTTGATCAAACTTAAAAGAATGAAGGGATGTATCTGTGTGAGGTCCATATGTTATTACTATTTTTAGTGTGATGGCTCATCTGTACACACTCCCCTAGGAATAGGGCCACCTGCATAACCAGGAGCCCATTGATCACATCCGAGAAAGTGAAAGTCATTGTCATAGCTTCTCCTGCACAGTCCACACTCAACTTCCCCACTTGTCCTGAAAGTACCTTGACAGCTGTCTTGTTGGGCTCCCCAACCCAGCATTGAGTCAGGCTCATGTGGTGACTTTGTTCAGAGTTTCTTTTGTCTCTTAGTAGTCACAGGGTCCCACCCTCTCCCTCGTTACTTCATCTTGAAGAGTCTGGTCATCAGAATGTCCCACGATCTGGATTTGTTTGAGTGAGTCTTCGTGGTATTTAATTTGTTCTGTAATTTCCCTTATTTGTTGGAACCTAGAAAGGGAGCCAGAGGTATGGATGATTCAGGGTGAACATTTTTGCCTAAGTCCCTGGCTGGCACATATAGCAGGTTGTTGGGGGTTTTTTCCATCAAATAAAAAATTTACCAGCTATTTCACTTAGAAAGAATTTTAAGTAGTACATTACAATGAGAGGCCAGGGAGCTCCTGGAGAGAGTGACTTTGGAAAACCTCACTGCCCTAGCCAGGCACATCAGGGCTTTGGGCTCAGGTCTGCCTTACCAGCCCTGGGACTTTGACCAGGCTGCCTGGTCACTCAAAGCCTTGTTCACAACTGTAAAATGATGAAGGTGTTAGCTCATCATCACATGAGCCCTCCAGAAGGGAAGGAGGCAAATGAAGCAGAGGGGATGCAGCCTGGTGGAGCTGTGTGG